TTGAGCCCAGGAGTTGGAGATTGCTGTGAGCAGTGAAGCCATAGCACTCTACCCAGGGGGACAGCTTGAGGCTCTGTCTCAAAAAAAAAAAAGAATGGGACTGCTGAATAAAGCCAAAGAATAAAATGGTAAAAGCTAAGAGCCAGTGATGGGGTCTAGATGGAGATAAGGAACTGAGGCACAGTGGGGAGCTGAAGGAAGAGAGGGGAAGGCTGAGAGCACAGGGAGAGCAGGAGCTCCACAGGGCCACTGGCGCACACATAAGGGAGGGCAGTTTCCCTGAGGGGAAGGCGAGTCTTCAGATGGGAAGGAACCATGAAATGCAAAGAAGGACAATGGGAAGACGCAATGCACCTACCTGCCGGGAAACTCAACCTTCCAAGTGGAAGAAAACACAACAAAAGCATGGGCACACACACAAACACACAAGATCAATATACAAATCACATTCTTACGTTGGGTTTCTCACTACCAATACCAGATGCTAAGAAACCAGGGAGGAATTTCTATCTCTAGCCAAACTATTAATGCAGAGTGCAGACAAATAAGGACTAATAAGGACATGTAACATGGGATGTTTACATTAATATCAAATTATAGTTGCAAAATAGCTCTAAACGTAAAAGGAAATATTAAAAGTCAAAGTTTACTACCCACTTAAGGAGTTACTTCCACTAAACCGAAGAATCTATGCAAGAGGGTAACAAAGCACGAAGAGTAACCCAGGAGTCAAGCATGACCCAGAAAATATTAAAGTTAAAATGGAAGACATTAGGACTTGAATCCTTGAGCATTCTCTTTCATGCAGCATAGGACTTCATCTCCCTCTCTATGGTTCAGTGGTAAATATTTTTTTCATTATCATGGTATGTCTATCAACCTATGGCCTAAGCATGGAGGTTTTATGGTAGTTACAGAATACAATGTGAAGTGTGTCTATAAATTCAGACTTTATAATAGTTTCAACTGGCTGCATGCACACCTGTAATTCTAACCCTTCCTGGGGCCAAGGTGGGAGGATTGCTTGAAGCCAGGAGTTTGAGACCAGCCTGAGCAAGAAAAGACCTCACCTCTACAAAAAAATATATATATATAGAAAAATTATCCAGGAATGGTGGCATGCACCCGTAGTCCCAGCTACTTGGGAGGCTGAAGCAACCTGGGCAACAGAGTAAGACCCCAAAATAAATTGACCTCAAAAATAAAACTGACCAAACTCTGAGATGAAAGGAAGGAGTAGGCAAAAGAGAAGGAAGGGAGGCACATCTTCCATGCATAAAGGCAAGAAGCAGCCTCTAACATTGACTAGTGGGGAAAAAAAAGATTCAAGTATATCATCTTAAGTCATAAAGGTGCTTATCATTAGAAGAATCAAGTGCATGTAATTAACAAAACCAGCAGGATATAAGCACAGTACATCTGGGTGGTGATGGTGGTAGTTAGTAGTGATGATGGTAAAAATGATAGTAGTGATGGTGGTAGTCGTTAGTAGTGGTGATGGTAATGATGATGGTAGTGGTGGTGATAGTGATGGGTGGAAGTGATGGCAGTGATGGTGGCGGGTGTCTGGGGAGACCACAGGTTCTCTCTACATCTCTGACCAGCTCCAGGGGGAGGCTACTGCTGCTGGCCCCACACACGACTTTGAACATCAAGAGTTGTAAGTGCTCAGCCCAGTCTCACCAGCACAGAGATCCCCACTCTCCAGTATCCCCTCCTCCTCACTTGTCTGTAGCTGGCCATCTCTGCAAATTCTTTCCCTTCAGCTGAGGACACTTGAGTCTTCTCAGACGAAAAACCTGTCTTCAACCTTGTACCCTCCTCTAGCTACTTTCCCAACATTCCTTCTTTCTGTAACCTGCTTATTTCCATTGTTGGCCCTGTCTGCACCTCCTATTTACTCTCCGTCCCCCACCCCATACCAGCCAGTCAGCAGACCACCTCCCTGCAGTCCTTCCTTTAAGCCAGGCATCCTCAAACTGCAGCCCCCCTAGGACATTTATCCAGCCCACCAGGTGTTTTTGCCACTGCTGCCCGTCCTGCTTAGCAGCTGACTCATCCCGGGGCTGGCAGTCCAGCCCTCCAATGGTCTGAGGGACAGTGAACTGGCCCTCTGTTTAAGAAGTTTGAGGACCCTTGCTTAAGCAGTGTGGACCTGTGGGCCCCATTCCCACCTTCGTTTCCTGGTTGCCTCCTGTGACACCATGTGCTCATGGTTCCCTGGCCTCCCATTCCTCCTCAGCCTCTTCTTCCTTTACCTGCCCAGGCAGGATGATAGCTCCTGGGGCTCCCAAAATTTCACTCTGGCTCCCCACCAATTGTTCCCAGCCTTTTCTGAAACACACTCATGCTCAGGATGGGTGGCCAAATTCAGCAAGTAAAAATACAGGAAGAGGCTACCAAGCTGCAGTGAGCACTGGTCCTTTCACTGCTAAAGTGGCATCTGTGGAAGCAGAAGAGCCCCTAGAACAGCACAAGGTATGCGTCTGTGGAGCAAGTAATCCTCCTAATGGCCAGGAGATGGCATCACTGCTCCTTGCTCCAGAGAAGGAAACTGAGGCATGGAGAAGGCCACACAGTCCTGGGTCACCTGGGTATAACTAGCAGAGCAGGGACCCTCATACTAGCCTGTCAGATCCCAGGGACCCCCTAAGTTCTGCTCTCCTGTCCTCCCCACCTAGACTTCGTGAACACTTCCTGGGCAGGGAACAGGGCTGGGGAGGCCTGATATTATCCATCTCCCCTAATCAGCTTCCAGCCTGTCTGGTCAGCTGAGCCCAACTAGCAGAGCAGGGACCTTCACACTGACCTTGATGTAAGCTAGAGTGACAGTCCATAGACTCTGCAAGGTACTAATGGTGCCAAGAGCCCAGAAGGCCATGAGGCCAGTGAGACGAGGCATGGACTCACCCGGATGATGCAGATCTTGCTGTGAGCAGCATCCAGGGTGTCGTAGAAGGCCTGCACCACTTCCTGGAACTCCCTAGTGCCTTCTGCCACTTGCTCCAGCCTACTTGAGGGCTCCTTCAGGCCCTGCTCTGGCCCTGATATATAGGGAGATGGGGGTCAGGGTCATGTCTGGGGCACTAAATGCTGATAGTTGGCCTACCCCACCCTCTCCAGGTCCAGGATGCAGACTCACAGGTGGGGCCTGAAGCTGCCAAGGGAAAGGCCAAATTATGATCCCAGGGTCCTGCCAGAAGTATAGCTAAATGGCGGGCTGCGCGGGTGGGTTGGGCTCCAAAGCCACGGAGGATGGTGCAGTCCTCGAGCAGTGCAATGCTCACACCATGGCACCGCTCAAGGCGAGCACACAGCTCTGCAGACAGCATATGGCCCTGAAGACTCACTGTCTCCTCATGGAGATGTTCCTCCAATGCAGTCTCTAGTGCCTGGTTCAGCTCATCTATGTCCTGCTCAAAGGCTGTGTGGACCACCAGCTGGGCCCTGCCATCAGTTGCCCCACCTAGGGGCTCTTCTGCCTCTGATAGTGGTGCCTCTGATACTGGTTCATCCAGCAGGGAGAGAGCCAGGGCTTGCTGTATGGCGGAAGCCTCCTCTTGCTCAGCCACCTGGTCTTGAGGCTCCAGTGACAGGTGGAGGGCCAGCTGCAACGCAGCCTCCTCCTCCAGCTGCCTAGGTGCCCCAGTACTAGGGGCCACAGGATCCCCTTCCTTGTGTCCTGGAGTCACTTCCTCTTTTGGCTGCTCCTCAGGCACCTCTTCTTCCAGCTCTGGAGGCAGCCAGTCCTCCCCATCCAGACCCTCCAGGGTGGCTAGCCGCTCTTGGACTTCCTCTAGGGACAAGGAGAGGCCAGTGGGTCAGGGGTTGGGCCTAGCCAGCATATCACTAAAGATAGAAGGAGTCAGAATGGGTGAAAGATAGAGAGCTAGTTTGGGGGTACAGGGTGGGCCTAGGAAGGGTCACTTTAAGGTGAAAGTACAGAGCGGGACAGAGCAGGAAGTCAAGCAAGGGCCTTGGGATGTGCTGAGGGTTCCCAGGGAGCCCTACCCAGGCTCACGTTCTTCTGGTCACTGCCTATACTATCTGGGGGCCACTGGGTGTGAGTGCGGCCAGAGAGGACTAGAAGGTCTTCAGTGGGGTCCACCTGTGGAGAGAGGATGTTCGGACAATCTGCCCTGCCTCTGGGCAGGAGCAGAGACCTCCCTGGGGTGTAGGGAGTAAGAAAGAGCAGGGGCAGGACTTGATCCTTACCTCTTCAGAGTCTGTGTCCAGGGTGGCCCTGGCCAGACGCTCTGTCCCAAAGACACATTGGAACTGAGCCTCCAACCCTTGAAGAAGGTGCTGTCCCTCTGGGCCCAGCAGAAACCTGGCACTGCCTGGGTGCTTCAGTCTCAGCACATGACAACTAAGGCTGCCCAGCAGACTCTGCAGGAACTCTTCAGCTGCTTGGCATGGAGCCAGGGCTCCACAGAGCTGCAGGAACATGATGGGGGAGCATGATGAAGTTTGCAGGTTTAGGGCACAGGAAAGGTACCCAGAGTCCCTAGTGGGAAAGGGGGGCCAAAAGTGAAGAATCATGAGGGTTCATTCACCCGAAATCCAGTCACGTCTGTTCCTTCAAGTGGGAAGAGAGCAACATCACCCAGGCCAGCAAGAAGGTCCTCATGATAGAGCTGCAGGAACCGCATCGCCCCAGGCTCCATCGACAGCACTGTTTCTACCATGCCCTCCTGCTCTGGCAGCCCCATATGCTGTGGGCTCATTGGCCCTGCCTCCTCCACAGACCCCGAAGCAATCTCCACTGGACCCACCAGCCCCTCCTGCCCTGGTAAGCCCATGGCAATTTCCACCAGGGCTTCCTGTCCCAGCATCCCCACAGAGATCTCCCCCAGGGAAGGAGACTCCGTGGGATCTAGGCTCACCAGCCCAGTCTGCTCTGAAGACCCCACAGTCGCCAGGTTCGTGGGCCCTTCCTGCTCCAGAGACTCCACAGTTCCCAAGCTGACTGGCCTGGCCTGTACCACAGATCCCATTGGACCAGTCCTTAGAGAGGCCCCTACTTGCCCTGGTGTCTCCCTAGAGCCCACTGTCAGAGTCACTGTATGCTTCAGTGTCCCTGTCAGCCCTCCAGCCTTCAGGAGAGCATTCTCATGCTTAGTGGCCTCAGACCCTGACTTAGACAGATGGTCGCCTCCACTGGTGTCCTCAGCAAGCTCCTCAGGCTCCAGTATGTCATAATGGGGAACAAGGATCAGCTCTGAGCCCTGCAGCCTGTGATCCTGCTGCAGCACTCTTTCAGCCACTTAGAAGAGGGAGAAGACAGAAAGCCCATTAGGTTTCTGTGGGAAAGGTGGGTGGGTGAGTTGGGTCCATCCTGCTCCACTCACCCTGCCACTGCTGGAAGTTGACGACAATGCCTAGATGCCTAGGTAGGGTGCGCAGGCCTTCCAGAGGTCCCCCACCACTGCGGCGCTCATTCTCCAGGTACAGCTCCAGCAGCACCAGGTCCACAGGGAGGGTGCCCCCCACCACACGCACAGCTCGGGCCTGGGGCACCTGGGCCAGCGACACTGAGGCCCCCTCCAGGTCCAGATTCTGGGCCTGCTCCTCTAGGATATGGACTTCTGTGGGAAGTGTGCAGGTTGGCTCAGGGCATCTCCACAAACCAGCACCACAGCCCCATTCCCACCTCTCACCTGCCTCAGAAAGGGGCCTGGATAGCTGGACCAAGGCCCGGTCCAGCCGGGGGCTGGCCAAGGCGCAGCAGGGCTGCACTGGGAGCCCTGCAGTGCACAGTAGGGCCTGGACATGCTGCTCCAGAAGCAGGGGAGCAATGCCAGGGGGCAGTCCTTGGAGAAGCAGACGTCCAGGAGCAGGTGGTGGAGCTGGCCGCAGGCTCAGCCGGGCACCATGTAGCTCATGCTTTGCCTGGGCCAAGACCCTCTTGGCATCTGCAGGCAGGGGTGGAACAGAGCCTCAGGTGTCAGGGCATCAGGGTACCCAGGCTGCCCCTTCAGCCAGCCCCCTCCTCACCTGCAGGCTCTTGAAAGGTGAGGATGCCCCCACAGCCAAGTCTCTGCCAGCTCAACACAAGCCCCCCACCAGATCGTCGCTGGTTCTCGAAGTAGAGCATGAGCAGCTCATCTGGCACGTTGGGGGACAGTCCGCAGACCTCCACTGCCGCCCCTGCCTCCTCATCCATCAGAACCCTGGGAGGAGGGACCAACTGGGTAGAGAAGCACCTGCTCCACCCCACCTGCCCTCCCCAGGCCCTTCTACAGTGGTCCTCGGTACACTCTCATTGGGAGTGATCCCACAGCCAGCACTTACACACCACTGCCCCTCCACTGGGCAGCCTCGGGCCACACTCTCAGCCAGGACTCCTCTGCCTGACCGTCCCTCTGTGTGCCTGATCTGCAGGCAGAAGGCCCCAACAGGAAAACAAAAGTGAAACTAAAAGCTAGAAGGAAGGAGGGAGGGAGGAAGGGGCAGGGCTCTCAGCTTGGGGCCTGAGGTGCTGCTTCTCTGCTGAAGCCTCAACCTCCAGCTCTGACCAGAAGGTGATGGCTGGTCTAGACCCCTCAGGACCCTCCTGCCAGCCCAGCCCACTGGCTTCATCTGGCCCAATCTAGTCTTTGGCTGTCAGGGTGGCCAGGAATGGTCCTCCAGTCCCCTGTGGCCTTGAAATGACTAATCACCCTCCCCAGTGAGTCCACCAAGGGGCTGAGTCACTGCCCCAATTCAGGGTCTCTAAGTCTCTGTGTTACCCTTACCCTCAGCAGGAGCAGTGTTGGTTCTTCAGGCCTGCTGTGCTGCCTCACAACTACCCCCAGCAAGTTTCCCAAACATGCTCCATTGCCCTCACACCTGCCAGGTAAGCTGGCTTCCTATGGTCCCGAAAGTGCTGAATGTGACCTGTAAGAGTGCATCCCAGCACAGCCTTCATCCAGCCTTCTGGGTCCCCTACCAGGGCCTTCCCTGGAGCTCTGTCTCCAGCCTATGCACCCACCCAGCCTTCCCATCTGACATTATCATTGCCATCATCACGGGTGATCCCATAGGTGACAAGCACTGTGCTGGCATGCCTTTCTGACACTAATCCTTAGCACAGAAAAGGAAATGCAGGTGCAGAGAGGGCCCACAGAAGTGCCAGGTCTCGTGCCCAGGCTGTGCCTTTAGAATCCATACTCCTGCTCCCCCCTCCGTATCACTGAAGCTCTATTTGCTTCTAGCCACTCAGAGTGAAGCCTAGCTCTCCACTCTCCAACCCCCATTCACCACTCAGCCCAGTGAAACTTATCCCCACCCATGCTGTTCCTTTCTCCAGTGGGGCCAAAAACCCTGGGCAGCCTACACCCCTTGCACCCATGGCTCTGCTGCCCCCTTCTCCTAAGACTCTGGTGTCTCTTGCTGGGTGGCAATGATGCCTTTTTAGCTGATCTCCCCCTGCCACTTCTACCTACCCCCATGGTGGGCCATCAGCAGAGAGGGCTGGGTAGCCTTGTAAAGTGGTACCAATAGCCGCTACAGCTCCCAGTGTCAGTAACAATAAAAGCAAAATCCATTTTGAACCTGTGTCGGTGCCTGCTGTGGCACCCCCATCACCACGCAAATAACAACAGCCAGGACACAGATCGAAGGTACAAGCTTGCAAGAGATGAGCTTTCCATAGGTGCAGGGAGAGCCCCAAGTAACCACTGTCATGGCCTTTTATTGAGGCATTGTACAACAGGTATGGGGGCCTATGTACTGGGGCTACTTGCTTAATTATTGCCACATGCTTTTTCTCTATGGGCTTGACTCCCACCCTGCTGCACCACAAATATCCAAACTATAACACCTGCTTGCTAACAAGCAACCAATTTTATCTCATTAACGCATGCAGTTGCTTAAGGGCTTGTCTTCAGGCAGCAAAACAGCTCCATGCGGGCTAGAAGATTGTCCCACTCCCAGCGTCATCCTCAAGAACCAGTGGCTGCTTTTATAAGCCTGGTGCTCGGTCTCCTACAAGCCTGTCCAGCTCTGCTTGACAAGGTCCCACTCCTCTCTGGTTCCATGCCCACTTTGCACACCCCAATGCTTAAATAGGCTCCAGCCTCTCAGCTTATCCTCCAGAGCTACCGTTTTTCCCTGAAAATAAGATCTACCCCCAAAATAAGCCCTAGCAGAATTTCTATGCATTTGTTAAATATAAGCCCTACCCCAATAATAAGACCTAGTGATGGGCGTGGCTATGCAGATACACCATGCATTTCGGTGAGAGAGGAAGACGTCCCCTGAAAATAAGGCCTAGTGTGTCTTCTTGAGAAAAAATAAATATAAGACAGTGTCTTATTTTCGTGGAAAAACAGTACAGACCCCACCTGCCTTAGGGCTCTTGCACGAGCCTATCCCTCTGCTTGGCCTGGCCTTCCCCACAGAGGCACATAGTCACCCATCCCATGACCTCTCTTACCCTGCTCTTAGTGGCAGCTTTAATACAAACCTAAAAATCCTTAAAGACCTCTGACTTACATGAGCCCCTTCTGAAGCCTTATACTCAACTTGATATTTATTTATTTTTTTTTTTAAGTCTCTCAAATTGTATGAGCTTCTGGTTCTACAAAACCTAAATATATCCCTGTCTGCTCTACTTCTTGCCTTCTCATACAACTCATCACCTATTTCCACACTGTATGGTTAGTACTCATTGTACCAATCCTAGCTGAGAAGGGCCTGCCACAGGCAGTGGTGCCCTGGAGCAGCTCACACCACAACCAGATTGTTATGTTTTCAGGAGTTTCCTGTTAAACTGGTGATACCTTGAAACCAGCTGAGATGGGCATTATTTACACCACGGGCATGTCCAAAAGCTACACATCAGGGCTTCCTCTCGCCAGATCTGTTCCGTAAACACTGAACTCACACACTGTCGGCACAGGGCAGAGCCTTCCCCAACCACTGCTAGGTCTGGGAGAAGACAGCTGTCCAAGGGCGGGGAGAGCAGAGTTAAGGCCCCAAAGCCAACGTGGATAGGCCCTGCTGCAGGGGACATCCTGACGACAGTCAGCACTTCCTCAGGAGGACCTCCGCGGCCACGGGGGTAGTTTGCAGGCCCCCAGTGCTACCGTATCTCCAAGCCTCAGCCCTTACAGCTTATGAGTATGCGCAGAAGACAAGCAAGAGTACAGGGTCTCTAGGACGGAGCCTGGCAGAGGCTGGGCTGGTACAGAGAAACAGCCTACTAAACAAATACGACTCTCGATAAAGGATGGCTTTGGATGCAAAGGGAAAGTGAACAGTTGTGTTTTACAGTCAAGACTCCTTGGCAGCTTCAGCAAATCCTGAATTTAGGAATAAATTTCTTTACTCCCTGAAAACCCCGCCAAATTGGCCATATCAGGCCTCTGCCTCCAAGGGTCTTCAGCTCCCACCACCCAACGCTCTGCGCTTCAGTAGACAGTGCTGGTCCCGGGCCTTGGGCTTAGGACCTAGAGTAAAGACTCTAGGGGGGCCGCCGGAAGGGTGCAGCAGGTTGGCCTGGAAGAAGCCCCGCATTCTCTGCCTAGACCGCCGCCGAGCCCCGCCCCTTGGCCCCGCCCCTCTTGGCCCCACCTGGCCCCGCCCCCGCCCCGTCACAAGGCCTCGCTGCGTCTGCTGAGCCGCAGGCGCAGGCCCAGCCGAGCCGGCCGCCTAGCTGGTGCGAGTGCGGGCGCAGCGGCCATCACCGCGCGGCCGCGCAGTGGACGCCGTACGCACCGGCCTGCGGCGCCCTACAAGCGGTGAGCCCCCGGTCCGAGCCCAGAAGCACGCGTGACCCGTCGCAGCCCCCTGGCCGACCGCCCCCGCGCGGGCCCTGCGCAGCAGAGCTGGGCAGTGTTCGGTCGGTCAGTCTGTCCGGGCCAGGGCGCGCGGCCGGCTCTGAGCCAGGGTGGCGGCGGCATTGGGGGCGGGGAGCCGCGGCGGCCTGGAGCCGGAGGGAGGGGGCGGCGCGCTGCGGCGGCGTCTGGACCCCGCGGCCCCGAGCGCCCCAGACCCGGCAGGAGGGCCCACCGGCCCTGGGTGCGGGTTCCGCGGCCGCCGCCCTCACAGCCTCGCTCGCACTCCTGCTTCATTCCCCCGCATGCCTTTTGGTAGCTTCCATCCCCCACACACCCCCGCACCCCGCTGTTCCCGGCGTACCCCACTGGCAGGCACGCGGTAGCCGATCCAGGCCTGATCCCCCCACCTCAGGAGTGAGAGACGGTTGGGCCCTGCTCTTGAGATGGGGGGGCCAGGACTCTCGTTGGTCACAGATGGCCTGGGGATTTTCAGGGATAGAAATAGCCGCCTGCTCTGGCCCATTAAATCTGCTTAAGGGGCGGGATGCGAAGGGGAGGGTCCGGGCACACCCTCATAAGTCCCCGGCCGCGCCCCCAGCTCCCACCGGCCTGAGCTCTGGTCCAGGAGAGGCGGGCAGCGGTGACAAGGGCCCTCCAGTTGCTTGTAAGAAACAACTAAAGACCCAGATCCCGGTGCTGACAGTCATCCCCTGGTCTGTCCCCTCCCCCACCTTTAGGGTCTCCCTAGAGCAGCTCCTTCCAAAGCCCACGCCCGTCTCTGAGTTCCCACCCACGTCTTCTGGCCCCGTTGTTCCGGGGCTCCCTACCGCAGGGAGCAAAGGTCATGGGTTACCCTTGTTTCGCCGTGGGTTCCTTGCAGAAGGTGGGGCTGCCATGGCTGGTTTCACACTGTCAACCAGGGCTAACTCTTCTCTCTGTCTCCTCTAGGGGCAGACAACAGAACCTGAGGCCATGTCCCATGAAAAGAGTTTCTTGGTGTCTGGGGACAACTATCCTCCCCCCAATCCTGGATATCCTGGCGGGCCTCAGCCACCCATGCCTTCCTATGCACAGCCTCCCTACCCAGGGACCCCCTATCCACAGCCCCCTTTCCAACCTTCCCCCTACGGTCAGCCAGCGTACCCCCATGGCCCCAGCTCTTTCCCCCAAGGGGGCTACCCTCAAGGCCCCTACTCCCAAGGGGGCTACCCTCAGGGCCCCTACCCCCAAGGGGGCTACCCTCAGGGTCCCTATCCCCCAGAGGGCTACCCACAGGGGCCATACCCTCAGAGCCCTTTCCCCCCCAACCCCTATGGACAACCACAGGTCTTCCAGGCTCAGGACCCTGATTGTGAGTGGGGCAGGGGCAGAGGCAGGGGCAGGAGTGGGACAGAGGCAGAGCTGGACAGGAGCAGGGTGGGGGTGGGGATGTGGGACTGGTGTAGGGACAGGGGAAGGGCAGGAGCGGGCCAGGGCAGCTGTCTCCAGGTTTGCTGACACAGTCCATCCATTCCTCAGCACCTCAGCGGGGGAACTACCAGGAGGAGGGGCCCCCGTCCTACTATGACAACCAAGACTTTCCTGCCACCAACTGGGATGACAAGAGCATCCGACAGGCCTTCATCCGGAAGGTGGGGCCGGGGTGTCCAGTAGGGTGGGAGGCCTGAGCCCGGTGGGCTCTAAGTCGCTCCCTCCCCAGGTGTTCCTGGTGCTGACTCTGCAGCTGTCAGTGACCCTATCCACGGTGTCTGTGTTCACTTTTGTTGGGGAGGTGAAGGGCTTTGTCCGGAAGAACGTCTGGACCTACTATGTCTCCTATGCCATCTTCTTTATCTCCCTCATCGTCCTCAGCTGTTGTGGGGACTTCCGGCGGAAGCACCCCTGGAACCTCGTTGCACTGGTAACCCCCTAACCTGGGCCTCTGGCCCTGATGTTCTAGTCATATGCACCCACTTTGGGGGGCCTAGTTCTCCTGGTTTCCCTTCTGCTGCAGAAGCAGGGGTCGTGGGTGAGGCAGGGAGCAGCTTGCACACCCCAGGTTGGTGCCCCCCAATCCCTGTCCCATCTCCCCACAGTCGATCCTGACCATCAGCTTGTCCTACATGGTGGGCATGATCGCTAGCTTCTACAACACTGAGGCAGTCATCATGGCCGTGGGCATCACGACAGCGGTCTGCTTTACAGTCGTCATCTTCTCCATGCAGGTGAGTGGCTCCCAACGACAGTGCTGGGGCCCTGGGGCCCAGAGGTCTCCCAGGCACCCACTGACTCTGTCCCCCTAGACCCGCTACGACTTCACCTCGTGCATGGGCGTGCTCCTGGTGAGCATGGTGGTGCTCTTCATCTTCGCCATTCTCTGCATCTTCATCCGGAACCGAATCCTGGAGATCGTGTATGCCTCCCTGGGTGCCCTGCTGTTCACCTGTGTAAGTGAGAGTGGGGGAAGGTCCTGGTGGGGAGGGTCTGGGATGCTGGGCAGGCAGGCTTGTCCCTCTAAACCCCTTGCTGTCACCCCCAGTTCCTGGCAGTGGACACCCAGCTACTGCTGGGGAATAAGCAGCTGTCCCTGAGCCCGGAGGAGTATGTGTTTGCTGCACTGAACCTGTATACAGACATCATCAACATCTTCCTGTACATCCTTACCATCATTGGCCGTGCCAAGGAATAGCCCAACCCCTCAGCTTACTGTGCCCCATCAGATGGCATGGCTGGCCTGGACCCTGCCCCTGGCATGGCAGTGTCATCTGTATCTCCCCTTTCTCTTGTCCTGGGCACGGCCAGGGACAAAGGAAACCCCTCTCTGACCCTCCTGTATGTACACTGCAGATACTTCCATTTGGACCCACTGTGGCCACAGCATGGCCCCTTTGTCCCCCCGCCCCACCAAAGGGCAACAAGGCCACGTTTCTGGGCCACCTCCTATCCACTCATTGTTGCATGACCCCTGTCTGCCAGCTCACCCCAGGGTCTAGGGGTAACATCAGGTCCCAGGGGAGAGGGATTGATTGAGCCAAGAGGTGAGGGTGCACGTCTTCCCTCCTGTCCCAGCTCCCCAGCCTGGCAAAGAGTACCCTTCTCCTCCCCCCCCAGCACCTGGAGTACTGCCCTCTGGGGGACGTGCAGGTGAAGGTCTCATCCCTGTGCTGAGCCCCGAGGGCAGAAAGGACAGCATGTTTCAGGGAGGAATAAGCCTTCCTCTCACTCTGCTGTCATTAAAATTCTAATAAATGGGATCTTCTGTTCTCTGCCTTCCCATTCTTCTCACTGCCCCCATGAGGTGGGGAGGGGACCTGGGTACCCCCTGGCTGATGGGACACAGGACCAAGGCATCAATGAGTTTCATGACAGTAGCTGGTCCTCCCTGTACACTGTGCATCTTTTCTTGGCATCCCCTGCCACATTATGTATCCTGGGATTCTGAACTGATGGACAGACCAGGCTTCCAGAGTCAGGCAGGCCTGTGCCCACAAAGATGGTAAGTAGTGGCCTAACTATGTCTGCCAATTGCTCCTTCTGGAAGAGCCACAGCATGGCAGCAGGTCCCCCTCTAAGCCCTCTTACCACCTGCAGCCCAGGCCAAGGCCTAGGTAGAATCAGTCATTGATCCTTGGGCTCTGCCAGGCTCACCTAGGATCTCCAGTCACTGTGAAGTCCATCTGACAGAGCACCCTGAAATGCTGCCTGGCCCACATCAGACAAAAGCCTTCTGAACTTCTGTATCCTTGTTACCAGAAACCGGCGGACCAGAACCCCTGTCAGGGAGTTGGACAAAAGCTCTGAGAACTCAGCCAGTCAGGCCCTGTCTTCTTCTAGCTCCCAGCCACTCCTAAGAGGGGTCCCTCTGTTGCCAGGGCTCCGTCTGAGCCTTCTGAGCTCCTAACTCCCAGTGGCTACGGAGAGAGGCAGCCTTGGACTTGGACATTCCCTACTGTGTAGGCCTTTCTTCCCAGTCTCTCCATCCAGCTTGGCATGAGATCCTCTCCTGCTTTTCTACCTCCTCTCCACCAGTCTGTCAATTCACTTATTTAACTGACAGCAGCTCCTCATGCATGTGAAGGGACCCACACACCATAACCCCATGCCACCTCAGTGTCCACAGACAGCTGAGGCCTGCCCAAAGCCAAAATTGTCTTCCCTGAAACCTGCTGCTTCTGTGCGATCTCCCCAGGCCAGAGTAGAGCCAACCACCCTCCTCTCTCCCTACCACTTCCGACTGATCCTGCAGGCTGATCTCCACCAGCCCTCCAGGTGCCAAGTGGAAATGGCAATCACACTGCCTGCCTGCTTACAATGGGTGCCCTCCAACGGGTGCCCTCAGGATGAAGTCATACTCCTTAGTCTGGCACACAGGGCTAAGCTTAGTCACATGCTGAGCATGGGGCAGGCAACATGTCCACCTTCCCCTACCTTCCAGCAGTTTCTTTGAGCTGGTACAGTTCCTTCTGAGTGAGTGGAGTTTCTCTGAGCATTGTAATTAGGAGAAGCTACCTAGTACTAGCTCCTAGATCCATCAAGATTTTACTCTAAAGAGAAAAAAAGAATGCTTACATGGTTAGAACATCTGTAGAAATGGAAGGATTGGCTCGGCACCTGTAGCTCAAGTGGCTAAGGTGCCAGCCACATATACCTAAGGTGGTGGGTTTGAATCCAGCCTGGGCCCGCCAAACAACAATGACGGCTGCAGCCAAAAAAAAGCCAGGCGTTGCGGCTGGCACCTGTAGTCCCAGCTACTTGGGAGGTGGAGGCAGGAGACTTGCTTGAGCCCAGGAGTTGGAGGTTGCTGTGAGCTGTGATGCCACGGCACTCTACCCAGGGCGACAGCTTGAGGTTCTGTCTCAAAAAAAAAAAAAAAAAAAAAAGTGGAAGGATTTGCTCAGGAATAACTGTTAAGCGAGATGTGCAAGGACAGAACTCAGTGAGAGGGAAACTCCTTGGGGACAGCTAGGGTCGGAAGGTATGGGCCCGGGCAAAGGAGATCTACAATAAAAGCCCCTTCTACAATAGAGAAGGCCAGAGCTGAACACTGGAGGGCTTGAGCCCATACTGTAGGCGAAGGGCATTCAGGCAGAAGATGAAACCAGCGTAGAATGTGTAGGTGAAGTAAGCAGCAGGGAAGTCATGGAGATAGGCCAGAAGGAGCTAGGAGCAGACAGTACAGAGGCTCCAGAAGCATCAGGGGCAGCACACAGAGCTGCAAGGGGTCAGGCTGCATGTAGCCAAGGGGAGCAGAGGCCTGTCAGCCAGGGGCCTGCTGTTTGCTGTGCCCCACCCAGGGAGGGACACGAGTCCTGGCCGGGCAGAGGCATAGGTAGACGGTGGTCACATTGATGCACCAAGAGGAGTGGGACCACAGCAATTGTGTGGTCAGTACATTGGTTTTTCAGGAGAGAAAGAAAAGCAGTCCCTGCCATGTGGGAGCTGGCCTGGTCCTATCCGCTAGGCCTCAGCGTTGCTAGGAGCTGGCCTGGCAGTCACAGATAGAGGCCTTGGTGTTGCTAGGAGCTGGCCTGGCTCTCACAGATAGAGGTCTTGATGTTCTCCTGGTTAAGATATAAACAATTTTACAGAACATCAACAGTCAGGGCCACTCTGTGACTGTGACCCTCTGTAATCATGTCTGAACACAGACAAAACATGAGCATTGTCCAAGCCATAGAAAGACCAAACACTGCCCTGTTCTGGCCAATCTGAGTGGCTGCTGCCTCTTTACAACTGACAGCTTCAGGGTTGCTCCAGTCTGAGGCTAGACTAGAGGCCAGACCAAATATGATGTATTGAGATACCCGGTCACAGAATGACCCCAGCTTCCTGACAGCATCCAATCCAGAGGAAAGCCTACTTCTTTAACCATCCCCAAATTATTCAAAACATGCCAAATCCTATAAAAAGTCCTTTCTAGCACCTTCTTACCATAACTATTCATCGTGTGTGTTCTGACAGGGGGGCAATAATTAAGGTGATCACACATCCTGCTTTTGGTGGGACAGTCCCAGTTTTTAACAATTTGTCCCGCGCCCCGTGGCGTTTTTAAAAAGTCCCGATTTTTGGAAATGCAGGACAAGCTAGGGAACGGCGGGACGACGGGGTTTTGGCTGCTGAAAGGTTAATGTAACTCCATTTGGGAATGAAGAGGTTAATGTAACTTCATTTGGAAATGAAAAGGCTAATGTAAACTCCCTACACCTCTCCTGGGCAAGGTTGCCCAAGTGGACGGAGCCCTACTCCTTTGAGCCACAGGTGCCGCCCTATACATTTTTTTTTAATGTATTATATTTGTAAATTGTACTTATGTTGAAATTAAAAAATATATATTACAATACTATTTTTGCATTCTATGAAAATTTTTGTTGCTCCATATAGACCAAATTTTTAATTAAGAATACCCCCTCTTCCCCCCCTTTAATGGTGTCCCGCTTTACCAATGTTAAAATCTGGTCACTTTAGCAATAATCTGACTCATTCAACCATAGTTGTATGCTGGTGGGCTTCATGGGGTAACACTCACACAGGTAACTATACCAAGGCCCAAAAGGGCAAATTTATTTTCTAATCAACAAGCATTTATTGGCTGGGTGTGGTGGCTCATCCCTCTCAGCACTTTGAGAGGCTGAGATGAAAGGACTTCCTGAGCCCAGGACTTGGAGGCTACAGTGAACTGTGATGACACCACTGCACTCCAGCCTGGGCAACAGAGACTCTGACTCTAAGAAAAGAAAATATTTACATAAGTAATAATTAAATCCACTCTTGTTTTTTAAGATTAAACAATACAGGCTCGGTGCCTATAGCTCAACCGGCTAAGGCGCCAGCCACATACACCTAAGGTGGCGGGTTCAAATCCCCAGCCCGGGCCTGCCAAACAACAAT